AATTAGTATTTGATGGAATGTCAAAACCTCATATATATAATGTGTGTGTGTGATTTGTGTAGCAATTCTTTCATGCACATTTCATTGAATAAGACAGACAAAGTGCTTTTATTTAGTCTCTTTAAACAATTTCTCATGCGATCTAATAATTTGTTTCTTTTCAGATGATAAATTATATAAAAACTGTCCGAATGTTCTTTTTATCCGAGCGCTTTCGGCTATATATTTAGCCATTTTCAAGGATTAAATATTTTAACTGTTAAATATGAAATAGTTTTTTTATATGTATGTTTTATAAAATGTTTTCATTTTTCAAAACACGGTCAAAATATTGTGTCCATGTTCAAAGTTAGTACTATTAAGTGTTTTTATTAATAAGGCTTCCATTACTTTTAGCCTTTTTTTGCACGTAGATGATGCTATTATATTAGTGTTGGCAACAAGTATGTTACGAATAGTGTCCGGTAGGTTTCCATGAATATTTAAATGAGATCTAATTGAGCTATGGTCAAAAAGATGCAGAGTGAGTCTGCGTGTCAAACATGTTGTAGTGTGGCCTATATAATTATTTACGAATTTTGATTGATCAGGAATACAATTCCTTAATGTGCATTTAAATCCGTAAATAATATTTGCCCTATTTAATTTTGTTCTAGGAGGTGATTTTTTTTTTGGGGGGGGGGTAAATATATTTGTCCATTTATTAAATTACTAGCAGTAGAGCCCGGCGTTGCCCGGGGATGTAACAGAAAGAGATAGATCAAGTATCGACCATCATAAAGACCGAAAAATAAAATTGACAAAGATTATTGTTTAAGGTTGACGGACACGCATGTCTTAGTTTTTTTTTTTTTTTACGAATTGGTCAAACCCAAACTCAAACAAAGACATTGTTTTCAATCGTTATGAGTCTATCGATTGAATATAATTTTATTATAAACAATTGTCTTGTAAATGGAATTTTTAAAGCATTCTGAATGTAAAAATAAAGAAAAAAGTGTGCAAGACAATAAGAAACACAACCTGCCAAAAAAAGTGAAGTTTTGTTGAAATCGGTTGAAAAATGTAGGAAATCCGATCCCATATATAAACGAACACACACAACCTGGGTTTTATAAGTATAACTCGATATGAGTTGTCCCCCTTTCATTCTGGTGACAGAATCGTGTTTTATCGTATTTTCAAATTGATTTCGTGCATAAACAATTGTTTTTCCAATTTTTGGCGCTGTCAGAACCACCGCAAGGTAATTTTACGTAGTCCTGTTAAGTTTTGTTGAAATCGGTTGAAAAATGTAGGAAATCCGATCCAATATATAAACGTACAGACACACACAATCTGCGTTTTATAATAAGTAAGATGTAGTATTTCTGGGAGCATCAGTTTATTACTTACTAAGTTAAAAGCCACACTCCATGTGAACTTTTAAATTAGCTCCTGGGGAGGGCTAATTGGGCCTCCAGCCCCAAATTAAAAGGGCCCTCTGCTCCAGCGTAGAAAACAGCAATAATAATTTTGAAGAAATAACTTTGAATACCTCAGTTTACGCCATGGAACTTGAAACCTCACTTTAACTCTGATTCGTTGACATTTTGAGGAAATAAAATTAATTTACTTAATTCACAGTGTTTGGAGATATTTAAACTTAATTTAAAACAATAAAAAATTAAATTCTAAGTGTTTGTGTTACTTTAAACTCAGTATAAATTTTTTTAAAAATTAAATCACTAATTCTTTTCAGCTATTTTGAAATTTGAATTTTTAACTGTTCCCTCCTCATCCAGACACAAATCCCAATGCTGGATGCTCAAGCACCAGATGAAGGGCAGATTTTCGATCCAGGGAGAATCCAGAGTACAAAAAGGAATAATATGTCTATATAGAGAAAGTGTGGTCTGAGTTAGAGGGGTTTCAAACTCACTAACGTCGAGACAGAATTTGACGTTTATTTAGAAGATAGACAGAAAGATGTGAATCATAGATAGATAGACAGAAAGATGTGAATCATAGATAGATAGACAGAAAGATGTGAATCATAGATAGATAGACAGAAAGATGTGAATCATAGATAGATAGACAGAAAGATGTGAATCATAGATAGATAGACAGAAAGATGTGAATCATAGATAGATAGATAGATAGAAAACCGATCCCCGCTTTACGCCCAATACGAACAGACATGGTAAGTTATTCAAGTAGGCATTTTATTGTCTTTATTAGCTGTCGGCTTTTAAATGTGATTTTTAAAAAATATATTTTCCAAGTATGATATTTAAAGTAATTCTTGGGAGATAAATTTATTACTTTGTAACAACAGAAAACCAACCTCTCGTTTTATTCCAAGTAGACTCTTCTATTAATTTTTTGGCTATATATTGTAAAAATGGAGGTCATATTTTAACTATCAGGTCGTCCCATAAGTACAGTATTATAAAATGTTAAATGATACTGACTGATAATATGGATTTAGAGACATTTAACTTAATATAAATTTCTTTAAATTAATATAAATTACTCAAATTAGCCCCATAAAATGTACTTGTCGAAAAAGCATTTAAGGCATATAATGCTTTATTAGTTTTAAAAAAATGGAACTCTGCAGCCGAAGCGACTCAAAATGTTCACTCAGTGTATGAAGAAGAATGTCTGAATGAAAGAACTTGCAGAAAATGTTTTGCCAAATTCAGAAGTGGAAATTTCAGCCTTGAAGATGAAGACCGAAGAGGACGTCCAGTTGAGTTTGATGAGCTTCTTGTAGCATCACTTGAAGAAACTCCTGCAGTATCAGTTGAAGAATTGGCAATGAAGTTTCGTTCAAACCATACAACTGTTCATCGTCATCTTCAACAACTTGGAAAAGTTGTCTAAAGTCAACTGCAATTCCCGAGCTGACATCTACTCTTCTCTTCATTTTTGTAAACTCATCTCGCCCCTTTTTTTTTGTGACTGGTGATAAAAAATGGATTTTTTTTTTATCAAAATGTTAAACATCGTAGACAATGACTTGGTAATGGGGAAGAGGCCCAAACAACCGACAAAGGAACTTCATGCGCGGAAGGTTTTTCTCTCCATTTGGTGGGATTGCGAAGGAATAATTAGGCTTTGAGTTGTTACCAACTAATGCGACAATCAATGCTCAAGTCTGCTGTCAGCAATTAGAGCGTTTGAACGCAGCTTTGAAAAAAAAAAAAAATCTGTTTTAACGAATCGAAAAGGAGTTGTGTTTCGTTAGGACAATGCACGACCCCACACTGCAAAAATCACATCCCAGAAGATTGAAGAACTTGGTCGAGAAAGAATTCCTCATCCACCTGATTCTCCCGACCTTCCTTCTTCGGACGACCATTTTTTCCATAGTTTGCAGAATCATTTGGATGGATTAACTCTCAAAAGCTATGAGGAGATGGAAATTGACATTTCAGAGTTCTTCTCTTCGAAAACGAATGAGTTTTTTTATTGGTGGAATCAAAAAGTTTGTAAGCAGATGGAATTACGTCATAGATGATGATGGAAACTATATTGATGAATAAATTTCAATAAAATCTAAAATCTGATCACTCTTTTCTTTTTTATTCAAAATCTGGACAGAACTTATGGGATGACCTAATATTTACTAATTATTAAAAGATTTTATAATGCGAGTCTCCAACGATTGAAATAACGTAATTCCCCATATATAATACGCCTTCATCCATAATACGCACTCTAAAACTGTGCTGAAAGTGTGGGAAAATGCTTGTATTCATGCATAAAACGCGCCTCTTGTTTGGTAATGAAACCCTATAAATTATATTTTTTCCAATTTCATTACAGCCAGCGTTTCCTATTCTTATTACAAAAATGGTTTTAAACAGAACAACATTATTCTAATTTAGTTTTATGATAATTCTTATTTTATTTTACATTTGTAAGTATTGTTAGGTACATATCATTGTATTTGACATCCTTATGGGCGGTCGCAATCGCCGAATATCAAATTGTCGTATGTTTGCGGTGAGTAGGTATTTCGCAACTGAAATCGATCTAAGAAACGCCAATTTTTGAAAGATTTTTTGTAGCTGTGCATAATAAGCACCCCTAATTTTGCTTTTTATTTTATTTTTTTTTTTTCAGAAAATGGGGAATTACGTTAATTCTTTATCGCAAGGGAGACAACTCCAATACAACAAAATGTTCGGAAAAAATGCACTTGTCGGATTTGCCGAGACCAGTTTTTATTTTCTTATTTGCAAAGATTTTACATTTCAAAAGTTCAATTCGTTAAGCCCATCAACCTTTCTAATGTCCATATACTGAAATCAGCAGAAAACAAAGTAAAACAGGACAAAGCAATAAAAAAAAAGTGCGCCTCTGCTCCAAATAAAGAAAGAATATCAATAACAAACGAACACGGGCGCCTCCTGAGTCCTCAACATTTATGACCTTGTGCCAGACTTATTTAAACTTCATAAATAATACCATTTTAAGAGTTTATTTTATTTGTTTTTAAAATCACTGATTTCAACACTTTTCTTTGGTATTACAAGGTTTCGAGCGATACGTTAGCCGAATTCTTTATGTTTAAAGCCCATAATTCAGAGGAAGTTATATAGACGCCTAGCAGAGGGAGATCTGGTTTTGAAACTCCCTATTCTATATGAGCGAACTCTTGGTAATATAATCCCGGAGAAGACAGTCATAATGAAGGGCGCTGTTTGGAAAAACTCGAAGATCATGTCAACCCAAGATTTTTACGTTAAATTAGGTTTATTGAATTTCTTTTTCAACGGCGTACGAACTTTTCGCGAGTTATTTAAAACTAAACAATATTTTCAAATAGTAAGAATTGATTTAGAGTCAATAATATACGGATACAGATTTTTACTGGGGGGGAGTGGATTCATGCCTTTCTCAAGGATATTTTCGTCTAAATGAAGATAACGAACCTGAACGAAATTCGAACTCGGCTCTCCGATTTCCAATTCCGAGCCGTTATCAATTACACCACCCGCACAATTATGCTTACAGCACTTGGTATTCCCAAGAAGTCACCCATCTAAGTACAGACCAGACTCCACGTTTCTTAACTTCAGTGACCGTACGAGAGCCGGTGTTTCAACTTGATATGGCCGTAAGCTCTTCAATTGTTAGAAATTTCTATTAAACCACTATTAATAAAGACAAAGCCACCTGTGCCCGCTGGGTGATTTAATCTTCCAATCACATTAAATCAATTTACTAAGTAACAATTTGGCCCGGATTAAAAGAGGCATAACACCATCAATTGCCAGAAAATTGGTCGTTTGCCTATGTCATATTTACAACTGAGAGGAAGTGTAAAAACCAATACATATAAGACAAATGAAAACCTGATTAAAAATGAATATTTCAACTGCGATATCCCGATAATTTACTACTAAACCACCGATTTTCCGACTTCCTGTTTATCCGTTCTGCTAGATCAGCAGGTCCCCTAATTCAATAAAACACCTGCTAATCCCACTTGTATTAATATATTAAACAATATATTTATCCACCCTCCTGAATATTCGATAAATCTTGTTATAAAAATATGAACAGAAATAAATGCTTTTGTTTTTTTTTAAATGTAAGATTTCACTGAAATAGATGATTTTAGAACACCATTATATATATATATATATATATATATATATATAAACAACTTTCCAGAGAGAACATTGAAAGTAGAAGACAAAGCGCTGAACTATGTAAAGGGATTCACCTATCTTGGTAGCAAAGTCAACTACAGTGGAACTTTAGATGATGAAATCATGCATCGGATTGCTAAGCCTACAAGTGCTTTCGGCAAAATTCGCCATCGCTTGTGGAATGAGCAGGGTATCCGACTGGATAAGAAAATTCGGAATCACAGAGCTGTTGTCCTTGTCATCCTTTTGTACGGCTCAGAGTACCATATACGCCAGCTGAATGTTTTCCATAAAAGCTGTCTGCGTGCCATCTGTGGAGTTAAGCTTCAAGATAGGACATCTAACGTAGACCTGTTTAACAGGTGTAATATTGGAGGAATCGAGACTTTTCTCATACAGTCTCAGTTACGGTGAACTGGTCATGTCTTGAGAATGTCTGATGACAGGATACTCAAGATCCTAACGTACAGCAGTTAGATCACAGCTACAGGAATGTAGGACGCCCATGGCTCAGATACAAAGACAAACTAAAGAGCAACTTGTCAGTTGTCAATATATACATCATAACACCCTCAAGCGCTTAGACTTGGAACGGGTAGAATGGAGATCAACGTGTTTTAATGGACTCAGCAGTTTTCAATCTGCTAGAATGAATCGTGAAGAAGCGAGAGCATGATCTAAAAGGTCAGCCAATCTAACAGTGATCTCATTCCACGATCCTCATTCTTGCTCTATATGCGGCCTCCTTTGTAAATCACTAGCGGGTCTTAAGTGCCACTTAAGATTATCGCACAAAATTTCATAACTGAATCAATTGGTTAAGTTGTCAGATTCTCATACGTCGAAACCCACAGGAAAGTATATATATATATATATATATATATATATATATATATATATATATATGTGTGTGTGTGTGTGTCTGTTTGGATCCTAACGTAAACAAAGACAACTTTTTAGGAAATGAATTGAGTCCGACAGATTTAATTTATTTGTTTAAACGTTATTTTTGAAATAGATACTCATATTTGAGCGGATGTCTGTTTTTATTTCTTTATTCAACAGTATATTTATTTACATCTACCGGCTTGAATATTCGAGAAATATATTCCAATACTCTTCTTAGAAAAATATGCGCCTTCCAGCAGGATTTGAACCTATGTGCCCTTATGGGAAAAGGCGTCATTAGATCTGACGTGCCTTGACCTTTCGGACACGTAGGAGGTCCAGATCAAACAAAGCCCGAATAGTGCTTTTGAACACATATCATTCTCGAAATACACATATCTGTTCTGTTTCGTCTCCTAACGCAAACATTTTTTAGGAATTGATTAAATCCGACAGGTTATTTTTCATTTATTTCTTTAAATGTTGTTTTTAAATAATATATAATATATATATAATATATATATAATATAATATAATATATATATAATATAATATATATAATTATACACTATAATATATAATTAATTAATTTGGAAAAGTTTATCACAGCTGATTGGTATTCGTTTCGGACGTTGCGTCCTCTAGACTTCTTCAGCTGTCTGTTGGTCGGTCCAGCTGCCCATGTTTTATTTCATCTACGGGGAAGTGAATTGCTCTTCTTCTGCTACTCCTGTCTAAGGACATATGATTATGCTCTTAAATAAGCAATATTTGGTTGATGATTTAAAGATTTAAACTCTTTCCTACAGATTAGTTAGTTTGAACCGTAGATGCGCTCTCGAGCAGGACTTGAACCTGCGTCCTCCTTACCAGGAGAAATCATCATTAATCTTACCTGATTTTAAACCCCATCAGCCACGGAGTGCTTTGACGATCAAACAAAGTTAAACTGAACCTGAGAGAGCATATTTTTTTTAATAACATCCTCCGAATATTCTGGGCGTAGATCAAAATAAATAAATATACTGTTTACCAAATAAACGGGCTTTCTATTCAAATATAGGTATCGACTAAAAATAACGTTTAAAAATATATATATATATATATATATATATATATATAGTGTCTTGACCTTTCGGCAGCGTAGGACTTCCTGATCAAACAAAGGCCAAATATTTCAATTTATTTCTTTAAGCATTATTTTTAATGGATACTCATATTTGAGTTAGATGCTCTGTTTTTATTTATTAAAGATATACTGTTTAATAAATAAATACAAAAAATGCAAGCACATATTCTTGACCACAAAAATCTACTGAGCCGACCAAGCATAGAAATGAATACAATATGGGAACCAGTAATAATGAGTGCCAGAGAAAGCAATAAATAAAAACAGCAAATAATAAGCGCTGGTAAAAAAAAATGCAGGAAAAAAAATTGCAAAATGAGCACTGGTAAAAAATAATTGCTGAGACAGGTTTATAATTCATACACAGACGTCTTCAAAGACACATGGCCAAGTTAGATACCGTGACAAGACCCAAAGAGTTGCGTGTTCAATACCAGGCCACAAATAATGCCAGTAGACAATGCAATATACACCAAAATAATGGTAGAATTTGGTGATGGAGACGCAGCTGTGTTGGTTTGCAGTAAAAACGACGGTAAAAAAAAAGGTCTTAAGAGTTGAAATGAAAATTGTATTAGTCTACTACTGTCTAATCTGCCAAACTACGAACTGGTAGAAATTTATCAGCATGGCGTTGCTCTTTGCTACACATCTATGAATAAAGATGTTCAACTTTTGAAAGACTGGCCATCATGAAGTTCTGATTTCAATATAATTGAACCATTGTGTTGGGAAATGAAGAAATAAGTGCTCCAACAAAAATAACGCAATCTCCAAGAGCTTTAGGATTACTGCCAAAAAGAATGGTGGGGAGTTCTGGACATTGTTTTGATGAATGGCACATCGGACTGAAACAATTATAGGAACTAAACGCAAAAATACTAATTACAAACGCTATATTTTGACGTGTGGTACTATTTATAATAATGAAGATGCATTTTTGAAAATGAAATCAAACAAAAAGACAATTTATTAAGAACTAGAAAGGCCAGGAAATTGTGGAGAGTCATGATTACCAACGTTCTGAAGGGACATGGCATATAGGAGAAGAAAAAAGAGCTTGAGTAAATTGATGACGGAACACGGTTTCGGAGAGATAAACAAAAAGATAACATTTATTAAGAACGACAAAGGACAGGAAGTTGTGGAGCGCGATGATCGCCAATGTCCTGAAGGGGTACAACACATAGAATAAAGAGGAAATGGCAATTTCCGGTTTTTTAAAAAAAAAAAACGGACCAGCACAGACTGTCAACAATATTACACCAATGCAGTAGCGAACGAATTAATCTTGTAGATGGATTTGAATGTTCCGACCAAATATCCAGCTATTATCAATTTAATTTAACCACTTCCCCGGACTAAACCTGTACATAAGTTTTTACCGAATTTTTTTTTCCAGACACGGGCGTATAAACACATCCAAAACATAACGTACAAAAACCAGCTACAGACGTGTTTACACGTCAGTCTTGATTCTTTTTATGCCCTTCTGCACTTGAAACGAATACAATTATCAACTGATACGTCTGAGAGGGGTGTTAGCCACAGCTCGGGTACGCCAATGTACCTAAGTTTTTGTTTGTTTTTTTTTTAATTACTATATTAGAAACAAATAAAAATCGTCCGAAAATTAAACGTTTTTCCCAAAATAATTGGCGGCGAAAAAGCTAAGTAAATCAATGAAAGATGGATTTTTTTGCTAGTGGTCCAGTATTTTTTTTTTCATGGCCTCTTTTTCAGCATTACTGTGATCAAAATGCGCTATCATCCACCATGTAGTATTAACGAAAATGTAGTAACTTGTTTTTTGGCCCTTAAACATCATAAATCGTACTGAGAAAAGCATACATTTCCTTCCTTTCAAAAATAGGCATCACTGGCCGTTGGTTGAAAAGCGTTTCGCATCGCCTTCAAAAAACTGTTCAACACGCGTCAAGTTGGATTTGGTCGAGATCAAAACAAGCAAATAGAATGCGCGCAACATCACGACCTAATATGCGCAAGTGAGATATTTGTGTGGTCGTCTATAACGACTTTTACACAGCGCGTCAATAACAGCAAACGCGTTCAAGAAACTTTCATTGCAGATAGATTTTACTTAAAGGAACAATTAGTTAGCTTATCTTCATACCCTGCCTGGTGGCAAACGCTGCTGGTGGCGCTAGGGGTGGCGGTCCCGCCATAGCCACCGAAACCGTGAGATCACCCCTGGTCGGCGGCTGATGAAGACAGGGTATCGCACGTGCTAACACACGTTGTATGTTAAAAATACTGCTAATCGCACTGAAACGTACCGAGAAAAGCATTCTGCTAATCGCACTGAAACGTACTGAGAAAAGCATACTGCTAATCGCACTGAAACGTACTGAGAAAAGCATACTGCTAATCGCACTGAAACGTACTGAGAAAAGCATACTGCTAATCGCACTGAAACGTACTGAGAAAA